AACGTCCAACTGGGCATCTTGTCTGGTAGAAACCGTCACTAAGTCTACCAAGCTAGTGTTTCAAGATTGTTGTATCCTTTCTATGAAAGTCGCCAGCAAAGCTACCGGTAGAGCAATTTAATTTAAGCATTAATGTTGAACAAAGTTGTTCCTCAAAATGCTTTACCTACGATGCGGAAATGTCAGGAGCAATGTATACTTTTCCAACAATGAATGATCGACAGCCACTTATGAACTTCGGTTTGCATTCAACTAAATGCAGCTTATAGAAATCGTTGAGTAAGTACGTATTATGGTTGGTGCGTTTCACCAGCGTTGATTGACCTAACTCTTAATGTCACCACCACGAAACTGGGGCTTCCCGGGGCGGTCAGACCTGATTGGAAAATAAGCATCGATTTTACAATGATTCGGAATATCTATGACTATGGTTGGTAGTAGTCGACGTTTTGATTCGTTCTCCAAGATGAGTAATTTAATGGCAAATGTTTCATCACTTCGCTCAATGTTATCTTCAGTGCACCGCTGCGTAGAGGAAAAGCCCACGGAAAGTGCCATCCGGACGTTGCTTTTGAAATTGCCGTCGTCAATCTGTCCTATGACCTCGGTTTTTTTCCGATTCGGCCGCCCAGTTTCATGCTTTCTCAGTTGTAGGTACATAAGATCAATGTCACTGCGGAGGTTCACTGAATTCTCCGTCGAGAACCATGCCTCGAGTAATTCTCTTCCTTTTCTTGTTACTCTATGCCCCAGAATTGCTGTGTTGTTCCAGTTAACCTTGTGTCCTTCCTCATCGACATGCGCCGAGATCTGTGACGGTGCATGATGATAGCAACATACACGCTTATGCTCTTGTCTTTTTGTGGATAGTTTTCTACTCGTTTGATCCACCTAGTCCTTCTCACAGTTCTCGGACTGTATCCTGTAGACGACGTTTCGGCGTTCGTGTGCCTCCAGTTTTTCTTTAGGCCTAGACATGTTTCCCTTCAAAGTCGCAGTTGGTATGTGAGCTAGCATCAGATTGTGCTGCTTTAGGAGTCTAGCTGTCTTTTCCGACACTTTTTGATGTACGGCAAGGAGAGGGATTTCGTCATCGTTGGTGCAGGCGCCGTTGTTGTACTCGTTCGGTTTAGGTGTCTTCGGATGAAACTGCGTAGGTAGCCGTTGCGAATGAGAGACATAGACCGATGTTCCTCTTCCTCTTTTTACGCATCCGCAGTATTGCAATGTGGTTCTTTCCTAACAAACAGGATCCGTATACAGCTTACTTTTGAGACGTAGGGTGATGGCTGTCGAAATGCAGCAGTTGGTCATTGTGTGTTTCTTTTATGTAAGCTAATGTTTGTAATTCGCCTTCCATTTTTCTGGTAACCAGTGCGTCCAAAAAGAGTAACGGGATTTCCACATCTACTTAAATGATGAAAGGAATACCTTCCATTGCATTGTTAAGCAGGTCTTGTGCGGTCAGTAGCTGGCTGCATTTGAGAATCACAAACGTAATCATAACGTATCGCACCCATAATTTTGGACTAATGACTGGGAGTAGATCCTCTTTCAAGCTCGACATAACTACATCCGCAATAAGCCCAGATGTGAGGGATCCCATTAGAGCTTCTCTAACTTGCTCGTAAAATACTCCGTTAAGTTTGAAGTAGATAGTAAGACATAACTCGAGGGGCATACATATGCTTTTATTTGTCAGATTTCCAGTCGCTTTTCTTCCACTGTTCAGACGTTCTGCTACTTTTTTTCCTTATCTACAAGTTGATAGAGGTGAAAGGTGCGATGACGTCAAAGGATACCACCAATTCAGCTTGCTCTATCCGCATGTATTTGCGCTTTTCCAAAAACTGGCAAGCATTACTGATCGAGTATTGCTATCCGCTGGTCATGTGTTTAAGGCCTTTCCATAGTTCTTTATCCAAGTTGTAAGTTGGGATACCTGGAGTGGCACTATTATTCTTAGCGGCGCACCCTTTTTGGGTACTTTCGGAAGCCCGTAAAATTGTGCGATGTTTGGATCAGGAGCCTTCATTCTATCATGCTCTCCCTTCGTAAGTTGATTTAAATCTTTAAGTCTCTTAAGGGTTTTTATTCACTTTATTTCTCAACCGTACTGTTGGCTGGTTCTCCATGCGTCGATAGATTGTTGTGTCGGCTAGGAGATGACGTGCCTCTTCAATATAATCGGTATTGTCCATTACAACAGTCGTACGTCCTCTGTCCGCAAGCAGGATTACGCTGGCTTCGTCGGCCTTCAAGGATTTTAGAGCACTCTTCTCTTGTTGTGAAAAAGGGCTGGGTTGCTTGTTGAGTGCTAGAATCGGAACCACGGCATTCCTAGTTTGTGTTTTGGTCCCTTCGTTAAGTCAGTTGGATTGTAAGATATTTTCGAATTCTATGAGGAACTCCAAGGTTATAGCATCCTTGAAGTTGTACTTAAGTCCTTTGGTAAGGAAATGGCGTTCAACGTCACTGAGTGGCCGGTTTGACGGTTTCCTGGCCAAACCATCCTTGACACCTGCGCACTTCAAACTGGACAATTTGGACAACTTTTCTGGAAGGGCGGCCTGCTTTTTCGCTTTTGCAATTACTGCTTTGCGATCACTCACTAGGTCTAGCTGTTCCGTCATTTGTTGACCGACTGTTTCTAGGCATGTAGTTCAGTTTTCCTTAAGACAGCTTTCATACTTTTCGACTCGACTGTGTGCGTCAGTGATCATCATCTTCACCATACGGTTTCCGAATTGCCTTGCAACTGCCCACGCTTGCTGATGGTTTTTTGGAGGCTTTTAGTTGACACTTCTGGGGAGAATGTCATTTCTTATGCTTTCATAAAGGAAGTCTAACATTTCCCCGTGTGGAACAGCTGGTTGGAAGCGAATACCAAATTAGGACCGTTGCTGTTCTCCAAGTACCTTAGCTAGAACAGCAATGGAACGCTTTGTGTACCATCCTAGTGTACCATATCACGGATGGCCGAAGCGACCGCGATCAGGATAACTCAACCGGAATTATTCAAACAGAAGGCTTTGCTGCAAGGGCTTCTTCTATCCTGGCTCTTATCGGCTTACTAAATTTATCACTTCGTGCACCTACTGTGATCGGATGCTGCACCTGGCATTCCGCCGATCAATCAAAACGTGCTCTGTCACATGTGTTGTTAGTCGACTTTATCGATCAAGGCATTTGAGTTGCTGCCTTTCGTGATTCCACTATTCCCACCTCTTTGGTTTCATCAGATATTTGCACTCTGCCCTACCATTTTAAAATTTTAAATGCCTGTGGAGATATGTCGACAAGAGTAGTCTTTGCAAAATGGTGCTCTTGCACTTACATGGGCATAATTTACGAGTTAAATCCTACAATGAAGGGGAAAACTAAATTTGGCCCCAGAATATTTTAACTCAAACACTGCAATCATAAACGAAAACTCTCTGTCCCCAGGACACATGTCTCCTCTGCAACTTCCGTACGTGATTTTCACGGGGTGAACGACTTTCGAGACATCCATAGCAAGCGTAATACCGAGAACTTCAAGTTGTCAAGGCGACTGAAGCCTCTTTCAATCCACAAAACTCAGGTGAATGCCAACGCGGTTTGCCCAGAGAGTACAATATCTGCACGTGAACTAAACAGCAGCGCTAACCAGGAGCCCAGTCCAACCTTGAACACATTTAACACTAATACGGCTACGACATGTCCAAGCAGTCGATGGTCCCGCGCCACACCTACTGCGGCACATCAACGACCGTTCTCACCTGGGCGAGTTACACCAGCCTCCACTCCCTCGCGTAAACTGGTGGCCGCTCAGCCTGGCCTACTGGAAACTGCGAAATTACTACTATCCGAATCAAGCAAGTTGGAACCGGTGCTACTCAGTGAGTTAGTCAATGTTCACTGAAAACAATGAATAAATTTTAAAATGTTTTTGGTTCACCGTTAACTACATGCGTAATGTTACTGTGATCATTTACCTGGGGTTGAACGCAAGTAAACACTTTTGGCTGTCTGATGTCCCTGCGATGATTTCAGATGATTTCCACAGTTGGCAAACATGTCTATACAAATAATGGGTGTTATTCCGTGTACTTCTGCACCGCTTGCCTATAGACAGTGTGTTTTGATATTGCTTCCTTAGAGACTAGCCTCGCTCGCCTGACATTTGAGCATCTAGGATACCTATGCAGTTATGTGGTCGGGAAAAGCAGTGCACCACACAGATGCTGGAGTTTGCTGGATTTCAGTGAGTTTTTCTCATGAGTCGCTGGAAATTGTTAGACATGTTCAGCCGAGCTGTGTGACAAGAAACCATTGAGTGTCGTTAATTGATATCCAGTGATTTAAGTCATCCGGATAGTCGATTCCATTCGGTAAATAACCTGTTGGTTCCTGATCGGCTAGCATTTTTCCGTGGCATATACTCTGTTATGTATGATAAATTCTGACCTAGCTGCAGAAGTGAGTGTAGTTCGGTCACTGCGATCACATTGCTTGTTGCTGTACGCAGCAGTATCGCCCATGGTACTAGATATCAGGACCTAGGAAAAAAATCGACAGGAACAAAACAGCTATGAAAAGCACGAGCACAACCATGGGCTAAGCTATCGATTCTATGCTCTAGTTATCTCTCATCTGATCGTGTATGTCCTAGTCAAAGGGTGTCAAAGAGAAATCATGAGATACATAACCTTGCATTTGGTAGGTCGGCACAAAGCAAAGATGCATACCCATACACGTATATTTGCGGTTCAGTCCTATCTGATGCAGGGATCAGTTGCAATTGGCATACTTTTACGTACAAATTTCCTTTCACCATCCTTTCGTTGCATGGATGATTTTACCTGCCTCTTCTGCCTCCTGTTTTCGTTCCCCCTGACAGCAAGAGATCAAGTACACAAGTAAACGCAACTAGTTAAACCATTTAAATTGGTTTCCGCTTTTCGAGCTGATTTTCCTCCTTGACATGCAAATAAAATGCTTTTATTGTTGCGGAGTTAATGGTGTGCTTTTTCCCATTTAGGCAACTGGCCGGCGAACGTATAGTGAGTATGACCTCGAGTTTTTGGTTATTAATTTATCCATTTAGGTTGGTGGTGTTGATGCCGGTGGAGAGCGGGTGGAGACAACAGAACGAGCCAGAAATCACAGAGAACGGGTAAGTTGCCGTTAACTGTATGCAACTGCTTTCGTTGCGCATTATGTTAAATTCGCCTTGTGAATTACTATCAGTTAGTACAACTGGGGCACAAACTGTCAATCACGGTCCTTCTCTCTGTGCAGGAAAAATGTAAGGTTCTCGGGAAGGAAAATAAGTATTGGAAAGTTCCTTTGGACATTTTCCCCCACAGCGGGGTTGAATGCGACATCCGCCTGCCAACTCACGGAACTGTCAGTGTGTGATGCCAGTCATCACAGTGGGTGGTCTCATGTACTTTAAAATGAAATGAATGGAAACAGAGTAGCGATTTCCTGCGGCAGATAGTTTGTTAACTGAAACCCGTGAACTGACAAATAATCTAGCGCGCGCAGTGTGCGACCAGGTTGACGAAGATATGATGCTATTCACTGTTTCATCAATCTAGTCCCCCAAAATGTAAGGATATGTCAGCTATACGCCGTGCGATCACCGCTAGCCGCTCGCAGGCTGAGTATATCACGAGGACGAGCACCTATACGCGGATTCGAACTGGTGACCCGATGATTGCAAGTCAGGCATGCAGACCACTCGGCCATCGACCGACAGTCCCAAAGTATGAACCATTTAGCTCTTCAGTTATGCAAGTCAATTCAAATGTCAGCTTTGGTGCACCTCATTTGCGTGGTGTTTTCACCAAAAGGGCACGCGGTTCCAAATGAACAAACCCACCTAGGTTACTTCGAAGACTAATATGAATATTAATAAGGGCGACCAACCTGGACTTTCTGAAAACCATTCATACTGAAGTAGGTAGAATTGTTGTTGGATAAATTATGTTATACAACTTTGCACCGTGGCAAAACAAGCAGTGCTAGTGTGCGGTTGTGGATATGGATAATATGATGCGGACAGAAATTCACCGTTGCCAGTGGGATTACTTTGATCAGGTCATCAACTGACTATGAAAGCAATTATTGACTTATTTTACGAAGTCCAGGAAAGTTGAAACAATCTGTTGGTATGATTAAGAAAAGTTTACAACAATGTTCAACTATTGGCTGATCACTTTTAGAACTCAGTGGACAGACAGATTCATATGAAACACAAGGTACCCACATTGATAGGCATGCTTCGGTCCGAACGACGACCTTATTTGGGCAATCACTATTGAAAGTACAATATCAGATGGCCTAGTATTATTATAGTGGAATAGCAAATCTGGTATTCTGGGTTTTGTTCACAGCGCATATTTGCTTAGGCATCAGTAAGCAGTGATATATCATGCGAAACGGTATGGCTATTATTGCTCACGATGCTGGTGTTCTTCACCTTTTGTTTCCCTGGACTACATAACTCCCTTTGCTAATAGATTTTGTGCGTAAAAGTGTTCGAAGGATTACCGTAACTACGCGAATATGTCCCATCTGTACAATCGCCAAACTCAACGTAGTCGGCTCAACGGTTCCTTTTTATAGGTGACAGAGAGGGAATTTTCAGACACGCACACTGACAACTGAAGTAGTCGATCGTCCAAATGCTGCGCCGCACATGATACAACGTGCTGCTATTTATCTGGTATGAACTGACAGTAAACTTTCACTTAAATTGGTTTAACTGATCCTTAGTAATTAGCCATGGAGCAACGGAGCAAAGGTTTCTGACGGGTATAAAAATGTATTCTTGACATGTCCAGTAGAATAGTTAGGGTGACAGAAATTGGGTGTTGCCCACCCGAAAACACTGCACAACCACGACGCGTTTCGATGTAATTTCATCTCATCAGGTGGAGACAGCAGGTCTCGATCGCACAACCATTGGAATAGCAGCCAACACTACTACCCCTTTGCCTACCGGGTCACGGTGGGCAACGCTTTTGTCACAACGGTAAATGACTAATTGGAGGGTCAAGTTTGGACTACACGTTGTGTGATTGCATTGCGACACGCAATCTCAATGTAATGGACTGTGATTCACATTGAAATGAACCTTAGTCACTGCGATCACTGGGACCGTATTCAAAGTAGATGGAAATTGGGTGTTGCCCACCCGAAAACACTGCACAACCACGACGCGTTTCGATGTAATTTCATCTCATCAGGTGGAGACAGCAGGCCTCGATCCCGCGACCACTGGAATAGGAGCCGAAACCTCTACCCCCAAGGGGATTGGAGTAATTCATGTGCGAGTATTTCTGCCTGGAGTTTAGGAGCGTTACGCTACCGTCCATTGTTTGTTGTGCATCAGCGCCAGTGTCTGATGGTCATAGGACATATCACATAATGTAAATGTGTCAATCGTCAATTCGTTTTTTGAAAAGAGATAATATGGGGCAATAATTTCATGTGCCGAAAGGGAGTTCCATGGCTTTGTCACTCGGAGGGAGAGAAAGTTTCGTCGACATTCCAGCAAGCTGGGCTGCGTGACTAGCTTAAATTGATGACCTCTTAGATGTGTTTAGGCTAAGTTGCAGAAGAGAATAGCATGTGTGGCTGCGGTTACTGAGGATCTGATACACCCTTCTGAGCTCGCCACTTAAACGCCGACAACGTCCGCTCTATGTTTTCTAAGTTCTCAGCCTGCGTAAGTAGGGAAGGTGTGACAAATCTCGGACGTTCTTTGTCGCCCTGCGCTGTTCCGTATCGAGTGCGGTGAGATGATGCTTCTGCTAGGGTTGCCATGCTAAAATAGCATATTTAGCTTGCGGCCCCCATATGTGCGCCAAGCACTTCCGGAAGGGGCTGAGGCGTCAAACTTCTCGAATGTACAATGAAGCAGACTGAAGTGCTGGTTTGCTTTCTTTGGTACCAGTTCAGTCTGCCTCAAACAACCGAAGTCATCTTGAAGGAATACGCCGAGATCGCACTCATGAGAAGCCCGCTTTAGTATTTGGGGTTCTAGGTGGTAGTTGTCAATACTCTAATACCGTATGCTGAGCAGTTTGCCCTTTATTGCATAGAAATGCAGCATGTTCTCGATGAACCATGTGTATGCTTTGTCCAGGTCATCCTGTAGGGCTATGTGATCCTCCACTGAGGCGATAACACGCCATATCACTCGACCCTAGGCAAGTAGCAGATAGTTAGAAGACGGCACGCTCGTGAGATCAATTATGAAGACCAGACAGGCGGGGCCTGAATACTGAGCCCTGAGGTACGTCGCATTGAACTACGATTTGTTCCGATGTGGTGCTGCGTATCCTCACATTCAGGGGAAGTTGAATGAGAAAGTCGCCTAAAAATCCTGGAACGGGGTCTCCGATTCCATATTTCTGGACTTTGTGCAGTAGGATGTGATGGTCCAGACGGTCGAATACCTTTGAGAAAGCCAGGTAGGCCGCATCGAGTTCTACACCATCATGCACAGATGCTGTCCAACATGCACGAGCCATCAGTAGGATGGTAGTGCAGGACCGAGGTTGGCGAAATCCGTGCTACTTCAGAACGTGAATTTTGTTAGCCTCCAGGTACCATATTTACATCTTAACTACAGTGGACTCCATAAGCTTGGTGATCATAGGAATTAGTGTTATCAGGCGATAATTCGCTGGTTTTGCATGGATACCACTATTCTAGATTGCAGTGATGATCCCGTGCTTCCACACAGTAAGGACGTGCATCTTGTAAAGATATTGATGAAAGAGAATTGATAGCGGTTCCGCTGAGCTCATAGCGGTAAGTTTCAATGCCTTTGGGCGAATGCTTCTGCACCAGAGGAGCTGAACCCGCGCGAGGACATCATTCTTTTCAATACAGCTGCGGTTATAAAAGCTACATGGTTAAGACCTCATAGCGACATGATCTGCGTAGGCATAATGTAAGTTGGTTGCACACTTTGGAAGGCACAGCCAGATTGTCGTCCAAGAAGGTTGACCGCGTCTTGTGCACTTTTTGCTAACCCGTATGTTGTTTGCACAGCAGGCATACTGGGCTTAACCAAGCGCAGTTTCTTTACTTGTCCATACAGTACCTTGGAAGTAGAGCAAAAGTTCTTCAGCAGATCCAGTTGGTTCTTCAATGTGCCCTCCCGGAGGAGTTTGACATATCAATTGCTTTGTGTTGCTTAGACATCCCAGGTGACCTCGCTCGGAGAGTCTATGTAGATGAGCCATACCAAGTCCCTCAATGCCATGCATATATGCGCCCTGTTCCTTATGAACAACAACATCTTTTTAAGTTGGGGGATTCTGGTTTCAGATGTGCGTGCCACGAATTCCGCAGGACACGTAAAGGGACCATTCGGCTAATAACGACCAACTTGTTGTCCTAATGGAATCAGACAGGACATCATAGATGGTTACGACGTGAAATTCCGCAGCGTGCTCTTTACGATTCTCGGCGTAGCACATGTAAAGGAACACTAGTGTCGCGTGATCGCTGCGGTCCGAAGGAGGGCACGTTATTATTACTTCAATCATGAGTTCCTCGCTGGTCAAAACAAGGTCCGAGATGGCCGGTTTATTTCCCCGTCCTTAAACGCGTTCGAGAAGTGACATGGTTTTACAGCGATGAACCAGCGATTTGCTCTTGCAGGTCCGTCTTGAAATGCTCACCGAGCGATGCCGGGTTGCTGGGCGGTGCAGATTGGAGTGCCGTAGCAGGAGAACGTAACTGTAAGATCACGCAAGTAGGTTTTAATAACTGAACCTAAGGTTAGGTCCATTTCTATAGTGGACCATGGTGGGCGGTATACAATGGCCACTAAGCACATCCCTGCCCTTAGGTTTAAGCAGCACCAAAATGCTTCCACGGTTGCAATCCCAGGGTCGTTTACAAGGTTGCTGAGTAGGTCGGAACGGTAGGAAATAAGTACACCGTCTCCCTTTGTAGGTCGGTCATTGCGCAAGCGGGACATACCAGGTAGTGAAATCTCGACATTGGTAATCACGTCGTCAAGCCATGTCTCGGTTACCATGATAAGGTCCCAAAACACCTAGATTTGACAAATCGAAGCTCGGCCAATGTACTGAGAAGGCCCTGTGTGTTTGTATATCAACAAGTTAGGGTAACGAATGCCAGAAG